TTTCCTTTTTTTTTCGTTTACCTTACTAGGGTCGTATATATGACAAAAGCATGTATAAATCAGTAGACATTTTTGTTTTTGTGCTTCTTAGAGATCATACATGATACAATGTACAAAGTAGTATAAAATAAAAAAAGGGTTAATAAAGATTTGTATTACTTAATCTTCAATTAACGGTTTATCACGAAACGGGACACCAGTGTCGGCCTCGATCGATTCCAACGCGAACGCGTTTTTCTGGCCGATTGCACGCGCGCGCACGCGCCACTTCGTGATTCGTCTTTCGTTCTGGAATTTATCCGCCCGGGATCGCAGCGTTTACCGAGCGGAGAACGAACAATCGCATCGATCTTTTTCAACATTTTCGTCGAGCTACGACGTACGTTCTCTCTGTTTTGTTTTTTTTTTTTCTTTTCTTTTCTTTTTCTTCTCTCGACAACGAAGATGACGGCGGTTGGCGATTGCTGCGTCTGTAGAAGAAGAAGAAGAAGAAGAAAAAAAAAGAAAGAAAAAGAAAAGAAAAACAACGGCTTCAACGTTGGAAGCGTGTCGTCGACGGCCGCGAGCAACAAGACTCGTCCCATATGTCAAAGTGTCCCAAGAATCAAATCGCGACACCAGGACAAAGATAAGAATTTCGTATATTCCCTACGTAATATAGTCAGCGCATAATCGAAAATGAGTTTAAAGTGTCTCGCCTTAAAGTCGATCCCGCCTAAAATGGGCTTCGGCGCTGGGATCGGATATAACCATGGTCGGGTCGGTGAGCATTTGCAGACCATCCATATCGATGGGATCGAGGCCCTGCCTCAATGCGTCGTCCGATGGGAAAAGATCGGGGTCGAAGTCGCCCATCATCGCCGTACCGAGGTCTTTCACGAACTCTGGATTCGTGAGGTCGTCTGCCCCGGAAAAGTCTGCGGGAGAGGAATTGTTTCAATAACGTTTGACCAATCTATCTATCGATGGATCTTACTTCCTATCACCAACATCGACCAATATCTATTCGTTGTGTTCGTAGGGTAAGTCCGGGATAGAGTGAGATGGCTCGATCACATTACGTATGTTATCGAGTGCCAATTTTCAGCTCTTTTTTTTTTTTTTT